ATTAGCAGGAGGAATGTGAAAAGCTCCGTGTTTCAACTCAGGAATCATCTTCTTTCATACAAACTTGTTTCTTTGACCTAGCACCTAAAAAAGTTTATCTTTGACCCTGTGCAACTGTCTCATGAATCTTCCAGTTGTGTTAGAGCTTTACAGGTCACCTAACCCCACTTCAGAGTATTAGAAACAAAGATTCAGGATATTCGGGAGCTGAATCCTTCTCCCCGTGCGGCGCTGGGCACAGAATGACCACAAACCATTTCTTACTTTCTTCCTTGCTTCCTTCCTTGTGTTTTTGTGTCTCCTCTAGATGTTCAGCTTCCAGAGTCAAACTCATCCTCTTCAGCCTGTTCCCAATCCTTGCATGGCTTCCCAAGTACAAAATCAAGGACTACATTTTGCCTGATGTTCTTGGCGGGCTCAGTGCGGGGACAATTCAGGTGCCACAAGGTGAGAGGGGTGACTTTCCCCAACAGCCAGACATTACGGAGTTGCTTCCCCGAGCAACTTTGGAGAAGGGGTAGCACTTTGTCACTTAACGTTAAAGATCCATGAGATGACTGTTGGCCTCAGGGGTTAGCTCCGTTCTTGGTGACACTTATGAACAGGAGCCTAGCTCCATCCTGGCTGTCCCTCGATTCTCTGCAGCAAGTAGAGCCCCACATCTCTGCAGGGCCCTGTGCTGCTGCTCCTTCCACCTGCCCCTTTGGATCCTCTCTGCCTTGAGGCCAACACGTTCACGCAGCCCCCAGGATGGGGGCTTGACTCTAGAGGCAGGGACACAGGTGACCTGCCCTTCCTTGTGTTTTCCAGGGATGGCCTTCGCACTGCTGGCCAATCTCCCTCCCGTCAACGGGCTCTACTCCTCCTTCTTCCCCTTGATAACATACTTCTTCCTTGGTGGCATCCATCAGATGGTCCCAGGTAAGTCCTCCTGCTCTACAGAGCAATCATCTCCACCTCTTTCGGTCGTGCCAGCCGTGGTGACGAGCTGGGTGACTTGCTCAGAACAGCCTCCCCCGTCAGCACGTTCTCCGGCTCTGCAGAACAAACTACTGACGTGCCTGTGTTGTGCTCAAGGTACTTTTGCCGTCATCAGCATCATCGTTGGGAACGTCTGCCATGAGCTGGCTCCAGAGTCAGACTTCCAGTACCTCAACCATAGCACCAACGAGGTGAACGTGAACACCACAGCTCTGGAAGCAGCTAGGCTGGAGATCTCCGCCACGCTGGCCTGCCTGACAGCCGTCATACAGGTGAGGACTCCTAGTGCTCTCTCTGGGCAAAGCTGTCCCACATGGGGTCAGCTGGGCACTCTCTGGAGCAGAGATGATGGCAGCAGGCGCTAGAAGAGGCCACGTTTGTAAGTGAGGCCATGTTTGTAAGTGGATGATGCCTCCGAATAGAGGGTTTTGGGGGATACTGACCCAACTGTGGTCTTGGCACCCTCAGGCTCTGCTCTTTGCCAGCTCACAGTGGCATCTTTCTAATAACTCCTTGTCTGTCCTCCTGCAGCTGGGCCTGGGCTTCGTGCAGTTCGGCTTTGTTGCTATCTACCTCTCCGAGTCTTTCATCAGGGGCTTCATGACAGCAGCAGGGCTGCAGATCCTCATCTCCGTGCTCAAGTACGTCTTCGGCTTGACGGTCCCGTCTTACACCGGGCCCTTAGCTATCGTCTATGTAAGTGGGTGCTCTGGACAGGGGCCTTCCCTGCTCCTCCTCCCCAGGGAGCAGCACACTGAGGGCATTGCTGCCACCCGCGCTTGGGAACAGGGGCTTGGACAGCAGGAAAGGGTGGAGGGAGGGGGAATACGGCTCTCTGTGCCATTTTGACACCTGCATTGACACTGTTGTACCTCATACCAACCCTTGTTTGGTAGTTTCTAGTCAGAGGTAATGAAGAGGCTCTGGGATTTGGAGCAAGATGAACTATGCTGCTTTATAGCACTAGCCTTGCTCAATCATCAAACATTTTCTATGAGGATGCTACTCAATTCTGAGGCCGTCTTACATGTTCCACTGATCCATCTTCCATCAACGCAGCTGGAATTGCATTTAGTTGACCAGTGCAGAGTGGGGACTGGCTGCTGATCTCTCAGCAGCAGGGTTTCTAGCACTTGTTTTCCTCAGTAGAGCCCCTGTCACACATCAGGGTGTTCAGGGTTGATGGGGATGATGGGTGTTCTCCACCATGCTGTCGATGCTGTCAGGGTCTCTGGGTCTCCATGAACACCTCCTCCTCTTCTCTCCCTTCCAGACATTCATTGACATTTGTAAAGGTCTTCCCAAGACCAATGTGGCCTCCCTTGTGTACGCCTTGGTCAGTGCTGTGCTCCTGATCATTGTTAAGGAGCTCAACCTGAAATACATGAAGAAGATCCGGATGCCCATCCCCATGGAGATCATCATCGTAAGTGACACCTGAGCTGTCCCTGTGGTCCTCTCCACACATTACAGTCCTCAGTGCAGATCTGGGACACCCACTTCTGGTTGTTAGAGTTATTTTAATTAGAACCATTCATGTACAGCATCTAGACAGTGAATATGGTGTTACTGTGTGTGGTTTCAGGACAGGAGTAGGGCTGTCCTCCTAAAGGGGACCTCTAATCTCCAGGTCTTCCCTGTCAGACTGTATTTGCATCCTAGTGTTGGGACATAACTGGCTGGGGAGAGTGTCTCACGGCCTAAATTTGGTTCTAATTTTCTACTGTGAATCCCAAGAGCGCAGCAAGCCTGGTGATGCTGAGCAAGCTCATGGGCCTTCTGCTTGTGACTCCTTTATCCTCTCTGCTCGCAGGTCATCGTTGCAACCGCGATCTCAGGCAGCTTTGACATGCCTGAGAAGTACAACATGCCCATAGTTGGCAAGATCAGCATGGGGTAAGTGCATGTGCGGGTCTGACACCATTTCCAAAGAGTTTTCCCTCCTCCCCCTCATCCTGCAGCCTGGAGAGCACCTCACTTTCCTGCTGCAATGAGCTTGGCATCCCTCGGCCCCTTCCAGGACCGGCTGGCGTTGCCGCTTTGCCAAGTGGTTGCCACGATCCTCCTGGGCTGCCTGCAATTGAGGCACGGGTTATGTCACTCCTCAGCACCCGGGTTCCTGACCCACTGAACCCGTCCCCAGACAGCAGTGTCACAACAGCCTTTCCCCTCTGCTCTGAGTGCAGCTTCCCAGCCCCAACCCTGCCCCTCGTGAGCAAGTGGAAGGACATGATAGGAACCGCGTTCTCGCTCGCCATCGTGGGCTACGTGATCAACTTAGCCATGGGGAGGACCTTGGCAGCCAAGCACGGCTACGACGTGGACCCCAACCAGGTAACACGTGGAAGGACACAGCCAAAAAATGTCCCCCTTGCTCTCAGGTGCGAGAGGGAGACCTTGCTGTATGAAGGTGAAACTTTCAGATATATTCTGCCTAAAATGCATAGCTTCTAGCTTGCATGCAGCCCCACAGGGCGCTTGCCCTGTGGGAATCATAAGGGCATATGGCCAAGTTCTTCTCCCATGGGCTGCAGAGGGGCACTGTGGCAGGGAAGGAAGATTCACACTCAGTCTCTGCTCTGCTTTCCCTCCGGAGCAGAGTCTTGGGCCCCAAGAGCTGCTTCGAAGATATTTTTGCCGGTTATTAGAGCATAACGAGGCACGTGTACTTCCCACTGCACAAAGACCTGGATTCCTGGTGTGGCACCTAGATACTATAAGAGGCAGAGGATTAAATAATCCTCCTTGTCGTCACCGGCCCAGCGGTAGCTTTCAATAACACCCATGCATACCGCGTGGGGCCCTGCCCTGCGTGTGTCAACAGATGACAACGTGTTTATTAGCCACGGTGCTTCCAGACTTCCCGGCTGGTAAAGCCCGTCCTGGCTCTCATTGGAAGGAGAAGGTCTGGGACACGTGGCAGGGACTCGGGCTCCTCTGCCGTGCACAGACAACCGATGGGGAGGACGGGAGGGAGGGATGTCCCTTCTGCTGAGCCTGCTCCCCTGCTCTCCACAGGAGATGCTGGCCCTGGGCTGCAGTAACTTCTTTGGATCCTTCTTCAAAATCCACGTGATCTGCTGCGCGCTCTCCGTCACTCTCGCTGTGGATGGGGCCGGAGGGAAATCACAAGTTAGTACTTCCTCCTCCTCCTCCTCTCCTCCTTTTGGATCCTGCTTGAACCAGACGTTTCAGCCGCCGCGCGCTGCCCGCCTGGCATCTCCGCTGCGTGGCTGGAGAAGCTCCATGTACGAGTGATTCACAGGGCTGCTGCTAAAAGCAGAAATTGCTCCCCCGCTCCATTTCATTCCTTAGATGGTTCTGGATGGGTCACTGATATAGGGCTGTAACTCTACATTCCCACTCTGGTTTTCAGTGGTGGGAAGAGCTACCATGAGGGAGTCGTTCTTGGGGTTCTTGCTGAGATATGGAAAAGCTTAATCCATTCCCCAAAGGCAAATGTCCACAAAAAGCACTGCAGGGACAAGCTGGGCTGCAGCAGCAGGAGAGCAAAGACCAAGAAGAGGGTTAGGAAGACCCTGACACTGGTGATTTGTTTCTTTTCTGCAGGTGGCAAGTTTCTTTGTGGCACTGGTGGTTATGGTGACCATGCTGGCATTGGGGATCTACCTCGAACCCCTTCCAAAGGTAACACAGGCGCATGTGGCATCACAGCACCACGTCCCCTGCATGCCCAAGCGAAAGCACTAACCTCTGCATGGCCTGGCTTGCCTGTGGGCTGAGACGTGTCTGTATTGATTCTCTGGAAGCAGAGCAGAAAAAAGGGGTCTTTTAAATCACTGTGCTCAGATCCAAGCATGACCTTTGTGAGCTTCTCCCTTTCCCATTCCCTTGTGGGAACTGGGCCCAAGGCAGGCAGACAGTGCCTCGTGGGGAAGCATCTTTTGCAAAACGCAGCACGTTCCTGAGCTGGACATCCTTGCTAACGTGGTCCCCTCTCCTGTGCAGTCGGTCCTGGGAGCCCTCATTGCCGTGAACCTCAAAAACTCCCTCAAGCAGCTGGCGGATCCCTTCTACCTGTGGAAGAAGAGCAAGCTGGACTGCGTGAGTGCTGCGGAGGGGAGTGGGATGGCTGGGGACACCCACGGCAGGGCCAGGCTGGGCCCCCAGGCCCAGGAGGGTGGCACGAGCCCCTTGCTCTGCACCCTCACGCTCCCAACCCTTGCTCGTGAGCTCCTGGGGGACGGCAGAGCGTGGCAAGCTGAGCACTGTCATGCTCAGCACACGTATCGCCGAGGCCTGAACTATTACCTGCTCTGTTGAAACGCCAATCACCCGCGGGAGCCTGTTTGCCCAGAACTAGCCTAACCGGCCCTGCTCAGTATCCAGGAGTCAGGACTTAAAAACTCGCACAATAGCCCTCGGGGGCGAGGAGAGCCCTTCACTGCGATAAGGGCTCCAGGCACTGGTTGATGTATAAACCCAGGCAGGGGCTGTGGGGGAGTGAGAGCGGAATTTGGAAGTGTCTGACATAAAAAGACAGTGTTTGAACAGGCTCCCACGGCGGAGCGGTGTGCGTGGGACATCCTGCCTGGTCCCAACAAACTGCCTTATCAGGGAAGAGAGAAGTCCAAAGGGGCTGGCTTGAGTCATCAGGAGCTTTCCCAAAATACCGATCAGACCCTTCCTGGAGAAGGAGCCCAAACCAAGCTTGCACAGGGGTGTAATTATGGCACGAAGGAGGAAGAATCCAGCACAGGGCATGAGCTCCACACACTGGTCTGTACTTTGGAGCTTTCCTGGTAGAGAAGTGAGGCTGCGGATACGTTTTCATTGTGAGCTGGACTGGCTATGCAGGAAAGATCCAGAGGAGAGGAAAAGCTGCTGATGGAAAGATGCTTTGTCCCGGGATTGCTGCTGTGAGCCCTTTGAATCACCCCATGGCATTGCCAACCCCATGGCACAGTTTTGCCCAGGATGTGCTGTGTTTTTCCGGAGCTAAAGGAGCAAAACTCTTGTCATTGGCAGCCACAAATGCCCCACATGGTGCTGCCGGCAGTGTGGGGCCCAGGCAATGGGGTGAACTGCATTCCCTGCCTTTAATCTCCCTGGAATCTGAACTGGATTCGGTGTGCTTCCTGTCCCCAAAAGCAGGATGCAGCAGGGCTGGGTGATGTCAGGGCACTGGCGCTCTGCACCCCACGACTGGCTCCGTCTCCGTGCTCTCCGCAGGGCTCACTGCTCTCCTGGGGAAATTCCAAGAGAGAGGAGCTCATATCTCCATTCACATATACCATTCTTAATCCAAAATGAAGATGCTGAAGTCTTCAGAGTTACCCTGGCTTGACCAAGCTCAAAGTCAGGCTCAAGGATGGGATCAAAATCCTCTGATGACGATTCTCAGAGAGCATAGCTATATATTCAGGCAGGACTGATTTCTTGTGGAGGAAGATGCTTCAATGCTAATGTATAAAAATGACAAATGACAGAGCTGTGAGCTGAGAGGTGGAGCAGGCTTTGGTATGCTCTGTCATACCCCGCCAGCAAATCTGCTCTGTGTGCAGGTGATTTGTAGCAGGCGTTGAGACAGCTTTCAGATAGATGCTCATTCCTCCTCAAGTACCCTGAGAGCAGGGTCTTTCTTGGGGGTGGGAGCAGCTACACAGCAGCAGATGGTCTGATCTGCAGGAGCTTTTCCCTGATCAGTTAGGCAGATATTTTCCGAACTGCATGAATGTGTTCGTGCAGCTAGGAAGAAATGCGCTGGCTGCTTTCAAAGCTTAAAAACCGGGGCTGCTGGCAAGCTTCCCACCAACGCTGCTTCACAAGAAAACATGCAACCAACTGCGCAATAGTAATAGCTGCAAAATTCAGGCTGTTTTCTTTCAATCCTCAGTGCTCGATGCCTAAGTGCAGGGCCGTTTTCCACCCTGCAGCCCGCGGAACGGTGCGATGACCCGCGTGCTCTTGTCCCCTGCAGCTCGTGTGGCTGGTGAGCTTCCTGTCCGCCTTCTTCCTGAGCCTGCCCTACGGCGTCGCTGTGGGCGTGGGATTTTCGGTGCTCGTCGTGGTTTTCCATACCCAGTTGTAAGTATTGGCGTAGTCAAAAAAAAAAAAAAAAAGCAAAGAAAATCCCCCTGTTGCAGAATAAACGATACATTATTTTTATAAGCGACCTCTGGCCCGCGTTTTGCAGGAACGTGTGGCAGGAGCCCGGGGGAGCGCAGGTGTCCTCCGCGGCCCCAGGAATGTGCAAACAGGAATGGCAGGCACTAATTTACTGCCTGCATTCCCGCTGCCGTGCACAGGTAGCGATGTGCACATCCCGAGGCACGGGGAAGTCGGGGGGTATTTGCTTCACCGAGAAGAGCTACCTGCAGAGCTCCTAGCAGGAAACCTGCTCATCCAGGCAGCGAGCCTCACATCTCCACGGAGATTGGCATGAAGTTCACACACCATTTCTCATTCACCTAAGTCTTTTATCGGTATTTCCCAATCTGGAAGGGATGAGGAGTTAGGACAGCGGTTCTTCTGGTGTTTGGAATGGGGAGTCCTATCAGGGTGAGGGTTACAGCCAAATGTGACGAGCACGGTCCTAGGGGCTGCTGCAGCCCCAGGCCAGGAGTTCCCTGGAAATACAACTCGGCCAACACCCGAGCAGACTCTGCAAGGCCCAAATCTAAGTATTTTCCTAATGCAAATTTCCAAATTAAGACATGGAGAATGAGCAGAAGCAGTTTTCTTCCCCTGCAATGTTTACTCCAATTCTGGCTTTTTTTCTCCCAGCCGTAACGGCTCTGCCCTGGGCCAAGTAACTTCCACCGACATCTACAAGAACCCCAAGGCCTACAACAAGGTGAGCAGCAGCTGAAATCTCCTCAGCAAAACACCTCCCCAACACGATGAGGAGCCTCCTACCTGTGTTTTTGCTCCCTGCCACCCTTTGGAGCCTCCCGCGCGCTGCCAGCCCTGCTTCGAGCTCCCTTTTCTCTTGCAGGTGCATGAACTTGACGGGATTAAAATTGTGACCTACTGCTCCCCGCTGTACTTTGCCAACTCGGAGGTATTCCGGGAGAAGATTATAGCCAAGGTGAGCAATCTCCTGAATTTTTAATTGCATCGTAATCCTAAACGGCCCTTGCTGTCTCCTGGCTCGCTGCTCGGAGATAATTGATTGGGATCGTCGAGACAGACGGTCACATCCATCCTCTGCTCTTCCAGCGTGCAGGCCTTTTCTCTCTGATCCTCGGGGCTGTCTGTGGATCTCAGAGTTTACGCCTGAGCTCTCTATTTCCAACAGACCGGGGTGGATCCCAGCAAAGTGTACTTAGCCAGGAAGAAATTCGTGAAACGGCAGAAGAAGGGGATGGCACAACCACCAGCAAACCTACCAAAATTGCTCTTGAAGCAGAACAAGGTAGCTCACTTTGGGTTCCTTTTGTATAATCCCCCCAAATCCCCACTAAACTCCTCCGATCGTAGAGATTCCTGCCTTGTCCTGCATGCATGGGTGTAGGGAGGAGGATGTTCCTTGCAGCACTGGATCGCAAGCAGAAGCGCTCCTGCCCTAACCAGCATCTCTGCTTTGCTCTAGACCTTGTCCTTGCAGGAGCTCCAGAAGGATTTCGAGAGCACCTCTCCAACAGACACCAACAACAACCAGACGGCCGCTAACGGCGCCGGCATCTCCTTCGTCGCGTTCGGCCCCGCTGCCGGCAGCCCCGCGCAGATCTCCGGCTCCGGCAATCCCCATGGAAGCGCCTTCGGCATCCCGCCCGCGGCGGGCGCCGCACCCCCCGCGTCAGCTTCCACACCATCATCCTGGACATGAGCGGGGTCTGCTTCGTGGACCTCATGGGCACGAAGGCGCTGGGCAAGGTCAGGGCTCTGCCGCTGGCACCGGCATGCAAGTTGGTCAAGAGTTTAAGCTCCACGTGAGGAAGAACTTCGGGACCTGGAGGGTGGCAGAGCCCTGGAACAGGCTGCCCAAAATGGTTCTGGAGTCTCCTTCTCTGGAGATCTTCCAAAGACGCCTGGATGTGACCAGGGTTGGACTAGATGATCTCTAGGGGTCCCTTCCAACCTCAGCTGTTCTGTGATTCTGTGTGATACGGCCAAGCAGTAATAGAAGTATTACCAGTATCGAACAGACCAGCAATAGAAGTTTCTCACAATAGAAATTTCCCAAGTTGTAGTGAAGTTGGCAGTACAGGGTTGGTGTGGTTTCTCCTTACCATCCCCAGGGCATGTGCAAAGCCTTGGATAAAAACATTTATGCATAAAGCCGGAGCTGGAGCAGCAGTGTTATTAACCCTCTCTCTCCCTCTCTTGCCTTATAGTTGTGTTCCAGTTATCAGAAGATTGGGATTAAAGTCTTCCTGGCAAACGTGCATGGTAAGAATTCCCCAAGAACACATTCCCAAATGATGTTCCCCATTTCTGTGCTAGCTATCAGCCTCCCACTGGAGCAAATCAGAACAGATGAGATGGAAGAAAAGAAGCAGAAAGGCTGTTATTACTGTGTGAAATAGGTTCTTTCATTTGTGACCTGATATGGCTGCAGCATCTCCACAGTTTGCATTTTGCAATTGATCCCTACATCCATATTTCTGCGGCCAACCAGTTTCTTTCCTATCCAAAGGCCACGTCCTTCCGTGTTTCCTGGTGCTCACGCAGCTTTCCTTTCCTCAGCCCAGGTGTACAACGACATCAGCACAGGTGGAGTCTTTGAGGAAGGAGGCCTGGACCGGAGCCACATCTTCTTGACCATCCATGATGCTGTGTTGTTTGCACTGGCAAATAGCAAAGAAGTTGTCCACCCGCCCGTCTTGGAAGAGGTAAATTTTCTCCCAGGTTTTCCTCCAACTCTCAGTTCTGCAATGCCAGGTTCCCAGGTCAGCACAAAGGAAGCGGAGCAGCTCATTACTGCACCCAGTGATGTTCCTCATTTAGCTCAAGTGGCAAAGGTCTAAATCCAACAAATTACTTCAACTTCCAATTCTCACGTCTAGGCCAAGAACCTGCCAATTTCATTAAGGGCTTAATGTTTCCTTCAAATGCCTAACTTGAAGTGAACATTGTCCCAGCCTACAGAAGCCAAAGGAGCTTTGCCAGGACTATGCCCTCAGTTTGGTGTCAGCTGGAACATGCGGCTGCTCCCAGGGGCACAATTTGGCCCTTGGAGATGGAGGCAAAGCCCTTCTGCCTGCCCTGGAGCAGCCCCAGCACCCAGGAAAGCTTCTCTTGGTGAGAGGAGAAAAGGTCAAGGCAGGAAACGTGGCATATGCTGACAACACGGAATCAAGCAAGTTATTTCTGCAGATATGGGTCTATTTATTGCATGATAATTAGAGCTCAAACCAGAGCAGTATTAGCCAGTTATCTCACGTGTGTATGTTAAGGTCTGTGTACACACTCTATGTCTGCAGCTTGATATGCAAACACGGGGGAGATATGCAGGATATGCAGCTGAAATGGGATTTCTTCTACACCTCTCCTTCCCAAGTGGGCATTTTCTTCCGTGGGGATGTGATGGTTTTAGGCCTGGGCTAGTTGTGTTTTTGTCCTGCACTCTGCTAATATGTGGACTTGATTCCCTCCTGCCCAGAGGCCGGATCAGACCGAGCTCTCCATCTATGATGAGTCTGTGGATGAAAGCAGTGCAGAGTTCAAGAACCTGGAGGAGGTTAGTCCGGGCGCCAGGGTTATGTGCTCAGCCGTGGACATAAGAGGGAAATCAGAAGTCCTGGTTGGGACCAATGAGATGGGTTGTTCCCTGTGCCACTGCCAGGCAAATTGCTCACAAAAGTCACTCTCTGGAAAGGTAACTGCAGGACTAAGGTAAATCCCTGCCGCAAGCAGCTCTGGCTGAAAGAGCTGGGCAAGGCCCCAAGGGAGCCCTTTAATCCCCACTCCACAAATGGGGTGAGTTTGGAGAACCCCAAAGGAACCCTTTAATCCATGCTCTGCAAACGGGGTGAGTTTGGAGAACCCCAAAGGAACCCTTTAATCCATGCTCTGCAAACGGGGTGAGTTTGGAGAACCCCAAAGGAACCCTTTAATCCATGCTCTGCAAACGGGGTGAGTTTGGAGAACCCCAAAGGAACCCTTTAATCCATGCTCTGCAAACGGGGTGAGTTTGGAGAACCCCAAAGGAACCCTTTAATCCATGCTCTGCAAACGGGGTGAGTTTGGAGAACCCCAAGGGAATCCTTTGACCCACGTTCCACAAATGCCGGTGAGTTTGGAGTACCCCAAGGGAATCCTTTAATCCCCCTGCACAAGCAGGGGTGAGTTTGGAGAACGCCAAGGGAATCCTTTGACCCACGTTCCACAAATGGAGGTGAGTTTGGAGTACCCCAAGGGAATCCTTTAATCCCCCTGCACAAACAGGGGTGAGTTTGGAGAACAGGCCCTAGCTGAAGCCCCCACAGGCTCCCCTGGCTGAGCTCTCGGCACAAACGGGATGTGCAAGTGCTGCAGGACGTCCCTTCCAGCCTGGCCTCCCCGCGCTGCCGCGCCGGAGCAGAGCACCACGTGCTTTCCCTGGGGGAAAAGGGCTGGGAAGAGCCCGAGTTCCTGCTCACAGCTGTGCTGGCTCCTGCCCTAACGTGTCCCTCGTGCGTCCGCAGGAGATGTTCGGCAGCATGTTCCACTCAGAGGCGCAGACGGCTCTGTGAGCACCGGGAGCACCGCGGAAACCCTTCGGATCAGAGTCCTGCCTCCCACCCCTTCCCAAAGAAGCGCGCTCCTCTCCGGGGACACAACCAGTTTGCAGAGGAAGGAGCCATCACCTCCCACGAACTGATGATCCCTTCCTCCCGCCTGCTCGCTCGGCTCCGGGGATTCAGAGCGACGGCTCCGGAGCAGCAGGAGCCTCCAGGAGCAGGAACTCGGGAAATGCTCTTTTATTAATCACAAAAGAGAAGCAAGTTCATTTGATGGCAGGTGCCTTCATGACTGCAACGATTAGTCACTATGGCCAACCCAGTGCCCTCCTTTGCCTCACTCCTGAACACAACTGCATTCTTCAAGCCATGCATATGATTCCAGCATCTCCCTTCCTCCTTTTTTTCCCCCTCTCTCTTTTCCCGATGAAATAAGGAAATACTGGGAGCCCTTCACGGCTTTGATTCACGAGCAAAAGCAGCTCAGGTGGCTTTGGAAGGAAATGTTTTACCAAGTGCACTGATGTTCAGGGACTCTGCACTGTAAGTGCAAACCCGCCTCTGCTGCATTCCCAAACTCCTGGAACCACTGCCTCAAACCAGGGCCATATTCCCGATTCCCTGGGGATATTGGTGCCCTGTCTCAGGAGGGCTGCTTTCCGGATTACTTTTTTTTATTAACATTATTACTATTCAAAATATTTTGCAATCAGAACTAACAGCTCCTTGTTACTGCATGTTATATGCACAGGTTGGCCTGCCTATAGAATCAGGATCCAGTGCAAACCCCTCTGAAGTATTTTAGGGATTTATCTATTGCCTGGACTGAGGTTTGCTGAGGCTCTCAGCCTGGGGGTGACGAGAGCAGTAATTGCAAAGGAGCTCTGGCCCTCTGCCCACTTTCTGCCCAGAATGACTAAAATCTGCAGGACAGAACACGGACGAGGGCTTTGGGGAGATCTGCTTTTCGCAAATCGTTTTGATCACAAGTAGCAAATTGAGGGAGATGGAAGAGAGCCCCTTCTGCAGCCTCATCGGGGTGTCAAAGATGCAGAGCAGTAAAACTGAAATTTCAATTTTATTTATTTTTTAATCTTCCCTGCAACCAGGGAATGGCCCACATGGCACCCTGTGCTCTGTAGGGCCTCAGATGAACAGCTTCAGCAATAGAAACCTCTTTTATACTGTGTGATCTTTCCATAACAATTTTCTACTGCATGTTTGATGATTTGCATTAAAATTCACCACAGACCGATGCTATGAGGATCACCTACCTCTCGGGCAAACCAGCTTCACTCACTAACCCACGCCCAGACAAAGATCTCAATCATTTCTAAAACACTAACATTCTTCTATATATGAGTGATATTAATAACTGCTGCTATTTTAGCTTGCTCTTCCAACGCCTTCCCCTTTACCCACTGCTAATGCTGTGACAGTTGTGACAAGATGACAATATAAAGCCTGAAAGAAATCCAGTATAAGCAAAGGGCTAAAGGGACCCTTCTTCAGTGCATTTTAACCTCAAATAGGGTTTTTATGAAAGAAAAAGGTTATTTTAAAATTTGGACCAACACACATGCAGGTGTATTTTCAAATGCAATGAAAACAACTCTTCCTATTTGAATTTTAAATCCTCCTCCAGCACTGCCACACAATGCGAGGGCAAACAAAAGTGAACAGCAGCGGGAGTAAACCTTAACCGCTTGGTTTCTTTCCATGAGTGAAAAAAGCCTTAATAATGACAGTAAATTATATTTTTAAAGGTTATTTCTATTTTAGTAATCTAAGATATTAAATATATTAACAAGCTTTAATATGCAGTTTTGAAGTATGTAATTATTATCAAGCTTATACATACTGCTGGAAGGCTCTTTAAGGAGAGAAAGTGGAGTTTCTCTACAGCGCAGATGTCTCATTTTAAGGAAAACAGAGCTTCAGGAACTACTAGAGACTGACTGCCATTCCAGGAATAAAATGAGGGCCCTGCCAGTCTGGTTTTGCGTAACATCTCTTAATTAAGTCACCACTTCTCTACCTCAGTTTTGGATTATGTGGTGCAAGAAAGAGTAATTAAATCAATGGAAATTCGTTTCCAAAAGGACAGCTAAGCTAACTAAATGAAACTCACTAACTAAAGTTATATTTTATTTTGTTCTTAGTGAAACAGCTGTGATTTTCCCAGGACTGTCTTCTGATCCCTAAGCTAAAATCAAGATATTAATCCCCTCAAATTGTCTTTGAGCCTGATTAGTCATGGTCTTCCACTCTCCTGCCTGAGCAATTCTTTTACTTGCTGCTTTGCAAATAACAACAAAGAAATTGGTGCGATGGAACAAGCGGTTGTTTCACAGCAGCTAATCAATACTTCTGTATCTCTGAGGTGGCCTCACTTTAAATGAGGAAAATTCCAATTTCCAGTTCTTCATTCAGGGTTGAATCACAGGAGACACTGCACTGTCTCAAGGGCCTGAGAGACCAAATGCAAGAAGCCTCAAAGCAACAGCGTGTATAAAAATTAGACTGTATTTCTGGAAATTCCTGCAAGAGGAATGGACATGATGCCAAGGGGGATGACTGGAATGGAGCAGCCCCAACCGAACTGCGATTTTGATGGCCCAGGATGGAGGATGCTTCAGTTCTGCAGCCAAGGGCCAAGGCTGGCAATAAATGTAACATCCATGGACAGATGGTATTCCTGGAGGCCAGGTACCAGCGAGAAACAGGAATTTTAGAGCTAACCTTGACAATCCCATGTTTTCAAAGGTCATGTTCAGCAGCGTGGAAAATAAGTGAATGAAGCCAAATAAATCAAAGGAAATAGCCATGTTTTGCACTTGTCCTTCAAAAGTTTAGTGTGGCCAACTCAAAATCTTGGCTGACTCAAAATATTTATTTCGAGGTGCTTGGACAAGACAATTAGGGAAGCTCAAATTTACACTGGGGTTAAAAAATGATAAATTTCTATTTTCCATTCATTATTGCTCTTAAAGTAAAAGTGATATTGGATGTGTAACGGCTCTGAAGCCTTACTTGGTAACTGCATGATGTATAACCAGCTCAAAATATTTGTAATTTATTTAATTTAATATTGGTTCTTTTTTTTTTTGATAATAAAGAATGTGTGAACAATCATTTCTCGTGCCCGCCTTGGGAGCCGGCTTTCCCTGGCACCTCCGATCCTGCCCCGAACAAGCCGGGATTGTTCTCCGGGAGCCGGCCTCGGAGCTGGGACACGGCGAAGCCGGGAGCATAACCCGGGCATTGTGCGTGCCGGGAGAGGTGCCGGGATCGCCGCAACGAGGCGGCCGAGCCATCGGATTGACCTGCTGCCGAGAAGCAGGGATGGACTTTTGGGGCCGGTTGCAAGTTTTTCCGAAACCTTGAAAATGTTGAGGTGCCGGAGCTTGTCCGATGAAGGGCAACGAAGCTGGTGAGGGTCTGGAGTGCAGAGATTATGAGGAGCAGCTGCGGGAGCTGAGTTATTTAGTGTGGAGAAGAGGACGCTCAAGGGAGCTTATTGCGCTCTACAACTGTCTGGAAGGAGGTTGTAGCGAGGCGGGAGTCAATCTCCAGAATAAATCCCGACAGGACAAGAGGAAACGGCCTCAAGTTGTACCAGGGGAGGTTCGGTTTAGATATTAGGAAAAAAATCCACACAGAAGGAGCGGTGAAGCATTGGAACAGGCTGTGCCGGGAAGTGGTGGAGTCACCATCCCTGGCGGTGTTAAAGAAGCATGTGGATGAGGCGCGTGGGGGCATGGTTTAGCAGGATGGTGACGGTGGGTTTATGGTTGGACTCGATGATTTTGAAGGTCTTTCCCAACCATAACGATTCTATGATTTCCTATGACTCTTCCCGCTCCGCCATGTTGCCCCGCTCTGCAGAGCGGGACTACAACTCCCACAATGCCTTGCTGGAGCGGGAGGGCGGGACCGAGCTCTCCCATTGGCCGCTCTGCGGGAGGGCGGCGGCCATTG